TATAAACAATGTTGTTATGTTGCACCTTTCTTCCGGCTTGTCTATAGATCGTGGGGGGAGGACAACGGTTTTTTTATTTAATAGTATTTAAACATGGTTAATTCCAATATTCGATCTGATTCACTATCGTGATTTTGCTCACGTCAGTGGGTTGAGTCATTGCAACAAAAGAGTGGCTTATGTACACCATGACTTCCAACGTAGGCCACGCCATGTTGTGTAAGAAGGAAAAGAACAGAAAAAAAAGGCTCTGACGAGCAAGTATAAAAAGCGTGCATTGAGAAGAATTTATCAGTTTAAAATTTTTGTTCAAACTTGAATATAAACCTAAATTATGCATAATAACAACGATGTCGATGATGCACGGGGTTTAGATGAAGTAGCATGCCCCACTCCAACAACACCACCACCAGCAGATCCACCAAGTACAAATAGGAAGATGCGTGATATATATCCTCATCGATGATTAAATTTTATATTGACATTCTAATGATTAATTTTTATGTTATCAAACGAGATGATTTAATCTCATTATTGGCTTTAATCATTCTATGCAATATTGTATGAAACTAAGCAAATAGTTGTACCAATACACAAAGTCTCAAATATTGAAGAAAAAATTTATATATATATTGTTTTTATAATCATTTTTTTGTATAAAAAAAAGATTTTTATAGATAAATTTGATTAAAATTTGACATAGTATCTATTCATTTATTATCACTTTTAGTAGAACTAAATAATATAAAAAAAAACGTATGTGGAAAAGTGAATAAAGCAGTGGAAATTATAGAAATGAACAAAAAAAAAAAGAAGAGAGAAAATACTATAGAAACATTTTCAGTAATTATCATTCGTTTTGTTTTTGTATGAGGAATCGTTTTGTCATTGAAAATTTATTTTTCATGTATATCTTCAATTGTAATTGGAAGATCTTTATAAAAATCATGAATACTTTTTTTGGCTTCATTCAAATGTTTACGATCGCCTAAAATAATATTTAAAATAAATATCACTTTTGTTTATTTTTGAAAAAAAGAATTAAATTAACCGTGAAAAATCCATTCACCATTACAATGATCATGACCAATATCTGTTGTACCTGGTTCTACTGACCAAGTTTGTGGTAAAGAAAAATTGAGATTATGTAATTTATATATATCATGATATTTATGAAATTGAGAACCTGAAAAATTATATTTTATTCGAAAAGATGCTTGATCTTCCATAGCACTATGATATAAAACAAAACAAAAAAAAAACAATTGGAATTTTCCAACTTTTTCTTTTTTCGTTTTTTTATTTTGTTACCCTGTAAACCATATTTGAATATTGTTCATGGTTGTTGAACCTAATTTAAATGCTTTTGATTTTGATATATGTGGAAGATTAACATAAAGAAATTCTTCAGTTGGATCATAGCTAAATTGAACATTAGATGAAAGTATTTCATGTGGTACTTCACCCCAATTTTCTTTAATAAATATATCTTCAGGATGCATTTCAATTGTTGATATATTATTTTTTCCAATACGTTCAATAACATGTTGATATTTAAGTAATGCATTTCGAATATTTCCTAAGAGAAATAAACAATTTACAATAAGTTTTTATAACTAAAGAATTTATTTTACTAGTAACATTAAATGGAATAGTTAAATAACCTGATCCACTTCGATCAGGATTTTTTAATAAAGTTCGATCTTCAAGAACAAAATAGACTTCGGTTGGACGATCTTTTGACCAATTTAGTACATCACCAAAACTAACATCCCAATCAGATGGAATAGAAGTTCGATTCTCTGAAAAATTTTTCAATGTAGAATCATCTATTGAAAGACCATTTTCTCGTTTTAATGTTTCTGATTTGTTAACTAAATCAAAATATCGAGCTGGTTGTTCATTATTTATACTTGTCAAAGCCATGTTTAAAAAATTCTTTTATTTATTTTTTCTATAATCTACAATTAAAATTATTTTATTATTTTATTTCAATTTCAAGTCCTTTATAATGTTTTTCAATCGCTTTTTGTGCTTTCTCTTTTGTTTTTTCTGGTCCTTCACATTTCCATTCGCCTTGTATTTTATTTTCACTAAATAATAATGAACCTTGTTGTTCACTTTGCCATCCAGGTGGTAAACCCATAATAATACCACAAGGAACTTTGCTACATGTTTCTTTTCCTTCAAAATTATATTTAACAATAAATTTAGTTTTTGTTTCATTGCTTGTTGATATCCATTGAATAATATCTTCTATTTTAGTTGTTTCTAATTGAAATTGTTGAGATTGATTAGGATTTGATTCAATTGTAACATAGAGAACTTCATCATTTGGATCAAATGAATATGATATATCAGTTCGATTTTTGATTGATTTTGGAAGTTCTTTTGAAAATTTTTTGACAAAGAATGAATCATTTGATGTAATTTCAATTGATGAAACATAATTACGACCAATAGAATCCAATACCGAAGAAAAATAATCGATAGCATCAGAAAATTGAGAAGTTATTGCAAGTGGAATTGTTAAATAACCTGAACCAGATGTATCAGGATTCTTTAAAAGTGTTCCTTCTGATGTGACACTACAATAAAGAAACAAAACAAAAATTTAAAAAAAAACTTTTATTTAAATTAAAACTTACAAAAAAGTTTCTGTTGGTCGAAATTCACTCCATGAAAGTACATCGCCTGGTTGAACATCCCAATCATCAGATACTTTTAAATTCTTTGGTGGTTTTGATAATTGAATAAATTTTCCTGTCGATTTTGATTTAATCGATGCATTAGGTTGATTAACAAGATCAAAATAAACAGCTTTCATTGGTTGATTCTATTTAAAGTCAATACAATTGAAATTCCAAATATAGTAAGATGGAGAAAAAAAAAGAACAAGCTTAAGTGATGAATCAGGATTAAACAATGTGAAATAAAGCAAATAGGTTTTATTCAAATATGTATGACGTTAGTAGAACATAGTAAAGAATGACAAATGAATAACAAAAATGATATTTTTATGAAAATGAAAACAATATGATATATGATCGAAATTTTTAGTAAATCATTTTTTTTTCTACCCCCGCTTATTTGAATCATTTCCTCTTGAGTAAAAAAAAACAAATATAAGAATTTAACTTTGACATACAGAAATTGTTGTAGCTTTTGTTGAAAGTTTCTTCGGTTGATTTAGTCGCTTTCTTGTTGTAGTTGGTCGTTTTCTTGCTGTAGTTGGTCGTTTTCTTGCTGTAGTTGGTCGTTTTTTTGCTGTAGTTAGTCGTTTTCGTCGAACTTTTGGCATAATTTATTATTTTCTGTAACAGAAAACAAATGAAAATTAAATATTATGAAAATAGCGCTTGATATTTTCCAAAATATATTGATTATTTTTATAAAATAAAATTTTTTTTTTATTGATTTATACATGAAAAAAAAATTTGAATCTTAAAAATCGAATAAATTTTTCTTTATCTTAACTTCAAATATAAATCATCATGTCTTTCTTTTTGATAAAATATTTTTTGAAAGTTTAATTAATAATAAAACATGAACACATCTGTTAACATGACATATGTATTGCTCTTGAAAGCATCTGATGATATGCAGAGCAGTTATTACTTTTGATTGTTCATCGTGTTTGTTTCATTCCTTTAAAAATCAATCAAAATAATTTTTATAGACAAAAAAAACCTAGCAGAGATTAATCAATAATAATAAACCTAATCATAGTAGGCTATATCTTAATTGTAAATAAAAACTAAGTGTTCGCAATCTATGTTGATATCATTTTTAATGAGTTTTTCAATTTCAAACACTATTTCAGTTATCAAACAATCAATAGTTTTAGTCGACAAAAAAAATTTTCTGCATAAATTTTTATTATATGCTAATCGACAATATTCGACGTTTCAATTCGTAAAATATAGTTTGAATATTTTCTGGTAATTTGATATCATGAGATAATTAAATTATTTTTTGTTGATCATGTTAAGTTTTTGTTCTTAGTTTAAAATGTAGTATGATCTTTTATTCTCACAATTATATATATTAAAATTATCAATAGAATAAAATTTATAATAAAAATTTTCGCAATTTTGAAACTCATTAAAAAAAGAGATCAACGCATATTTCTGCATTCCGAATTGCAAACATTCGTATACTAATTGACTTAATTTTCGTTTGCAATTATCGAAGCTATGTCACAGTATACACACTGTATGATTGATTATTTTTTGATAGAACTTAGAATATTTATATTTAAGTGCTTGTTTCTTACGATATTATTTGTTATAAATCAGAAGAAAATGAGATAAAGAATATTCTTTTTACAAATCGTACAACAAAAACAAAAAAATCAAAGATAGATATAATAAAATAAATATTTTCGGATATGTATATTTATTGTATCCTATGATAAATTATGTAACGTAGGAAGTCTTTATAATCATGAGTGTATAAACGATGAATCATTATCAATAATTAACGTCATAAAACATGACAAATGTCAATTGAATTGATAATGCATTGCTGAAATGTTGTATAGATTAATGGAAATAAATGTTTGTTTATTGCACTTAAAGTTGTCGTCAAGTCAAGAAATATATTTCTATTTTTAAATCTTATTAAGGACAATCTTTTTTTGCAAGATAATCAATTCACGTATATTTCTATGTACATATATGAATTACAATTGAAATTTAATATTTTTTCAAAAACTCATATTCAAATCATTATGACAAAGAAAAAAAAAGTTGTAGTTAGAAAATATAATATAAAAAATATTTTATGATTTTCCATTTTCTAATCATTGATAAGATTTCTTTTGATTTCATTATCTGTAAGCTATGAGTGAAATACGATTATGTTCATATTAAATAATAATGACACAATACTGTAAGATATTATTATGTCAACATCTTTGACTATACTATGAATAGTCGATAAGTGATCAAAGTCAAATGGATGACGATAACAACTGTCGACGATGTTATCTTGATATTTAATTGTATTTTTTTTACGGTCTAAAAAAAGACTCCTCGTATTATTCATCATTCTCAATAATATTTAAGCAATTGAATGAGAATTATCGTCACGAAAATAATTATTTTCTTCATTATTTTATATGAAATATCTATACATATTAATCGAATTTCTCTTCTTTCAAATTCATTATACTACCTTAGCATAGACAATGGAGCTACAAGACTTACGTGTAGGTTCAAATATTTGTTTGTTGTTTCATCAGATCACTAGATTTACGCAGTACATCGAAATTCTTATAGAAAAGTTCAAAATTTTTCTTTCGAGAGTCGGAATTAAATGTAAACAAATATTGAAGTGTTTGTTTAAGTACGTGTACGTCTTTTAATACAAGTTGCGAGTTTTTTTATTTGAATATTACCAGCTTTATACATTCCGAAATGTAAGTTCGAAATAAGAAACACTCAATATATTTCATCTGAATGATATAAAAAGATTCGTTCTTCTCGAGCGGAGTGATCATATCAATTATTCATTCAATGAGAAAAAAAACATACAAATGGTTGTAAAAATATACCTTTTCGTTCTCTTTTCGTGATGTAAAGAATAGGAAAAGTCACGCTTTGTTGGTACACAATGTAGATTAACTATCAAGCAGAGACACAATATCAACTATGTTAAAATTCGTTGAAAATATTTGTTATATAATAAAAGTTTGCTTAAATTGAATTTTATTCTTTGTCTTCAATGTTTTGAATTCAACAAAAACAAAAATCATAATAATCGATGTCGTCTTGTAGACTGACATGAAATTATCTGAATGGATATTTATTGAAACTGAAATAATGTATATTAATGAAATGAATAATAATTATATGACATGCCAAGATACATTATAAAATAATAGAAGTGACTCTAGTTTTCATTAGACATAATTAGCTATAAAACTTATATTGATACAAAAGTATAGAATATAACAATATTTTAAAATAGAGATAATAAAAGATTAATTTAATAATAAAAACTAAATATCACGAAGTGCAAAAACAAAATGAAAATATACAATTGAATTTTATAATAAATATCATTGCTTAAAAATCAAATAATAGTAGGTTATTAAATGTTAATATATACATACAATTAACAAGGTTTATTAAAATCTCGTTAGTACCGATACCCATTTATACTTTCTTAAAATTAGATCGTTCTAATTCGTTACTAAAATATTTCGAATAAAATTAATTAAACATTCATTTTTTATTAATATTCATGCTCAAATCATACTTAAATATATAAGCATTAGAAATAGACTCTTTATCAAAATTACATCATTCTCATCATGTCGAGAGAGAGAGAGCAGTACAACAAGTACATCGACATAGACATTTATTCAAGTGATATATACTAATCTATGATGAATTGAATTATGTTAAAGAAAAAAAAAGACAAAAAGATTAGACTTACCAAAAAGATTTCAATTCCAGTAAGAAAAATTATTTGTCTATAATTTTATTCCAATATATATATATGTGTCTATCTAGAATACATTTAATGCCATTTCAATTTATTTATACTACTATTTGGAAATTAAAAATTAAAAGATAAGATTTTTCTGTAATACATTTTATTGAATAGGAAATGAAAAGGAACAAACGTATATCAATAAATTTTGATCATATAATATCTATGTAAACACAAATCGTTGGTTTTTATTCTTGTCTTTTAAAGATTTTGATACATATAACCACGATATATATATATAGAGAATCTATACACTTAAAGTAACATTTTATACAGGTGTCAGGAGATAAAAAAAAAAGGTACAAGAAAATAGTTTTGAGTATTTGTCATTTGTTTTGTTCTTTTTTATTCTTATAATTATTGAGCTTTTGTTTTATTACTTCCATATGACGTAGTGGAATAAAGTGTATATATTGGTTGATTTGGTGTTGAACGAAGAACTGTTGATGCTTTAACTGATGATGATGATGATGTTGTTGGAGTTGAATTTAAAACAGGTACATTTGATGTTGATTTTTTATTATTCCAAAAATCACTAATTTGTTGACGTATAAATGGAATTAATTGACGATGACGAATACCAGGTATAAGACAAATTATAAGTGCTAAAAGAATAATAATTTCAAAATGATTATATTTCTAAAATTCAAAAGAAAATTTACTTGTTAAATAACTAAGAAGAAGATTATCAACACGTTGACCACAATATGCAATAAACGAAAGAAGAATTGCACCAATCATTAAATACTAAAATTAATATTGAATTTAAACAAAAAAACCAAAAAAATGAATAATTAATCTATAACCATAAGTGGTCGTTCTTTGCGCATTTTTAAACCTGATTCACATAATTTTTTAATATGTTGTTCAAAATTAGCAATACGTTCACATAATCGAGTATATTTAGCATCTTTAGCTGATGTCCTACAATAAAAAAATAAGAATAATGATCTTTTTTTTTGTTTTTTTAAACAACTAACCAATTATCTTTTTTAAAAAGAAGACGAATAACAATTGGTACAAGCAAATCAATAAGTACAAAAATCAGAACAACACAACTAACAAGTGTAAGTATAGGTGGATTTGCTTGAAGTATAAAACTAATAATTAAATATATATATATATTGTTCTTTGATACAAAATTTTTATCTTACATGAAAATAAAAGTAATAATACCAAAAATAACAAATGGATCATATTTATGTTCCCATTCAAGTAAATTATTTAAAGGTAATAAAATATGACGCCATATTAACAACGATTGTTTTAATTCTTCTGTACGATCTTTTAATTCCTTAAATATAAAATTTAAAAAAATCATTGCAATCAATTAGTTCCTATAAAAATTTTAATCTTACATCCGATTGTAATGATGATTTTTTCATTATGGATGTTGATGTTATTGGAGAATCACTGGTACGTAACGACATTAAGTGTTCCTATTTGTAATCTAGAAATTATCAAAATACAATGTTTTTTTTTTGCGAAATAATTTTAATTCTCATTAAACAAAAAAATAGAAGGCAAACAGATCAGATCTTATTTTTATTTGTAATAGAGTAAAGGCAAGAAACGAAACGACTAGTAACAAAAAAAAAAAACAAGCACAAACTAGCAAGCATTTGTCTTAATAAATAGAGAAAGGTGAAAAAAATAGAAGTGCATGGTTAGCGAAAAATATTCATAATTATACTTTTTAAAAAAGGAGAAAATACAAAAAAGAAATAAAAAGTAACATTTAAAGAATTTTTCGACGACCAACCACCATTGAACAACATGGGCATATATGAGTTACATCTTGACATGATGTTGCACAAAATGGAATTACACAACATGGTATACAACTAAAAGAGAATAAATGATTAACAAAAAAAGGATGAACAAAAAAAAAATGTTGCTTTACCCAATAACCGTAAGTAACAAACACATAAGCCATGCAAACGAACCAGAATACTAAATAGATAAAATGCAAATAAAAAAGAATTCTTTCTATTTTACAAATGCATACATAATCGACTCGTGTAACAACTTGTTGATGACAATGAGGACAAATACAATGAATTGGATTACGACCGAGCGGAACAGCATGTGCTCCAACTAGAATTGGTCTAGCCTCTGTTACCGGTACTTGTTGATAACTCATTTCATTATCTAACAAAAAAGAACAGGTTGTTTTTTTTGTTTTATTTTAAACTGCAAAAACAAAATACTTACAAATAGGTGTATCATTCGAAGATACTTCATATACTGGTACACCTCTATAATCACCTTTGGGTCTTACTGTATTTGAAGTAGCATTAGGTATTGTACCAGGATATGGTGGAGGAGCTTCTTCATATGACTGCATTATGCGTTTAGAAAGTGACTGGAATGTTTAATGAGATAGAATGAGAAAGTGTGAGAGATAATATTGTCTAAAGGAAAAGAAAACAATCAAAAAACTCGGTCAATCGAGAATAATAAATATGGTAATTGTCGTTGTTGTCATCCAAATAAAGGAAAGTAACAAAATATAACAACGATATGAGTCATTGATGATGATAGGATTGGACATGAATTTGATATTTATATTAAGTTGATATTTATGTTTTTAAAAATTGAATCTTAGCATTTTAACAATCATATAAAGTTCAAAAATTAAACTAGACATAAATCGAGCATATATAGACCCAATCTTGATAGAGGTCGTTATATATCAACTGAGTATTTTCCCAGTACAAGCAAAAAAAAACTAAATAGGATTTTTAGTTTTAATAATGATATCAGACAAATAATAAAATATTTTTATCTATCAATACCACATTTGAGCAAGTCGGAAGAAATATCCTATGTTTCTTCGTTTGAGTCAAGATGACCTATATGCACATTGTATATTTTCTAGTGTCAAAGTCTATAAAATTCATCCTGACAATTAGAATCACATTTTATCGTGGTAATTATTAGATTCGGTCATAGTTATCTGAATTTTCTACTATTGATATTATCATATTAGATGATATTACAATCTAACAAACGGCAATCAAGAATCAAACTTTAATTTATCTAAAGGTTCTTTGAACAAAGCTAAATCAGTATTCAGAACTTATTTTTTATAGATTTGACTAAAACTTATGGTATTACTTATTTGAACATGAAACAGATGTTTTTCTTCATTACAACTTTCTTCGGATTCATTTGTAATGCGTTATATAGTGTCGAAAAATAGGTTTATGAAGTTAGATATAATAAAATATGTTTGAAAATGTAATGGTACAGTATAATCATCTGCATTACTTATCTGTACATAGTAGGCAAAACGAATAGCTAAGCGTATAATAAACAAATAGTCTATGATACATTACACAATACGAGCACATGTTTTTCTTTACTCGATCATGATATTATCTTAACGCATTTATTAATATGCGTCATGTGAAGATATAAAACTTGCGTACTTTAGCTTTCATTGATTTAGATGACTGAATTTTCTCTATTTTCAGCATTAAAAAAATGATATATATGTGATGCTTAAATTTGAAGTAATTTGCTTGGTAAAATACAATGCGGATAAATTTGATATTGGTTTGATCATCCGTTGGAAAAGTAACAACAGATCACAAGATGAAAATATACCAATAATATCATCGATCGTTTAGCTGGTTAGAGGCATATAATCATGAGAAAAATATGTGACATGATATTCAAATTCTAATCTGTGTGGACATGTTGAAACTAAACATTCAAATCATATCGAGCACGTTCTTTTTTTGTATACATATGTTAAACTAAAATAATTGTTTTTTTTTTCTTGAAGAAAATATTTTCTAGTGTTTTAAAAGTAGAATATCTTTTATACTATTTTGATATGACTTTAATTGAGTAATATATTATATATACTCAAGAGTTCATAGCAATTTCTAAGATTTTAATCGATCTGATAGAAATTTACGAAGCTTTTTCAAAGTCGGGCAATGTTGAAGCTTTGAAATTTTTCAAATCTACTTTTTTCTTTTGAATATTTCTTATTATTATTTTAGCTACATATACTCTGCTAACGATACTATCATCAAAACAAGACATATAACTCTAGGTCAATTTATATTAAATTCATTGGACATCATTCAATCAAACGCACAAAAGCCTCGTATTTTATTCGATTTTTCGTACATGATTGTTACACATCCGATCTGTTACTAATGCAAGATGCCATTGATAGAACAACATTAGAAGTGATATAAGTCTTGTGTTTTCTCACAGTCTCATTAAGTCTGCTGTTTAGTCATTGGTAGCAACGATATACGAGTTCGATTTGATTTGTTCTTTATTTTTATTTGTAATTAATATAAAATTTAATTTTTGTTAATAAATTATATTTGATGTGTTCAAATTGTAAATAAGGAATATGTTTTTTTTTTCTTCAGAAAAAAGTTAGATTTCAAATATGATTTGCAAATTTTTAATGTCAATGCATCGGAATGTTTTATTCTTGTTCGAATGATTCATTATCATGATGTTGACAAAGTTGATTATACAATAATTCTTCTGCTTGATTTAAAGTATTCGGTGGAATGGTTTGTAATAATGAATAAATTTGCTTTCTATTTTTTGTATTAGCATTTTGCAATTGTTCATAAATGTCTAAACCTTTTTGTACGAATAATTTTTTGATTCTTTCGGTTTGTTCACTATCCCATTTTCCTGTTCGACAAAAACAAGCAAAACTTTCACAATTTAAAGTAGCTATGTCATATATAATATCATCAGCTTTTTCAAGCATTTCTTTTGCTACTTTAACTGTTTCTTGTTGTTTTTCGAAAGTATCATTATCATAATTGATTAAATAAAGATGACGTGTTTTCTTGCCTAGATTATGAATACCACCAGCAAGAAATATTGGCAGAGTAGTAGTTTGAACACGGCCCGATTCTTTATCAGGACCCCATAAATGAATAATGGATATATCAGGTGTGTTCGTATCGACAACAATACCATGATGATAATGTTCATAAGGATTTGAAGTAGCAATATGAGCACCTGAATATAGAACAGATTTGGCAGATTCAATATTGATATACTCAGAATTACTAGGTTGAAGATCAAGATTGTATCGTTTTAATAAAAAAGGAAGATAATCCATTAAAATTTGTAAATAGAAAATATTTATCTAGAAATAAATTTATTACTCAAAGTTTTGCATGAATTTATTTTAATTGGTTGAAGATATATGTATATAAAAACATTCAATAATTTCTTATTTAATCTAAACTATTTATAATTGAATAACATTTGTTGTTGATTCTAAAATATCCGTAATTCTTTAATGCTGAAATGAATCTTTTTTTCTTTTGCATTGTTTACCTAATATTGTTGTACATGCCTTGAAGTCATATGAATTGTTTTGTACGATCGAGGTTACCTTGGTAAATAAAGGTGAGTAACGATGTGAATCGTTCGTTTTTCAATTGAAATACTTGAAAAAAACAAGTCTCGAACCAATTATAATAATTTTCATTCTTTCTTTCTGTAAATAAAATAACAACTACGCATTTAATCACCTTGAGTTAGACAAGCCACCTGCTGCGAAATAAATAAAAAGAAACAGAATAACAAAATCAATATGTATAATAGTTGAAAGAGACTTTGAAGTAAATTACTTTAAGAATAGGTAGAATGTGATCACGTTCGAAGAAAGTACATTTTATAAATACTCAAATAATTTCTGACATCTTGAGACGTTCTATTGACGACTATCATCAAAAAAATAGGTCAAAATAACCTAATATATAAGATTAAAATTTAAAATAATAATGTTTTAGAAGAAACAGAACGAGATTTAACTATTATTTTTCATGAAAAATGCGCTCGGCATAGTATATTGTGTAGATGAGTGTTGTAAACTGATCCTATTCTACTAACATCACGAACACATTTTATTTTTGAAAATTATCCATTGAAGAAGCTTTCTCTTATTGATGTATTATTCGTCATTTCAAAAACTGTTAGTTATACAGTCCGAATAAGACTAGGGATTATTTATGAAACAAGGAACAATAAGAGTAATGTCATCTATACACAATATAGTAGAAAATATTTTGAGATTGTGAAGCACTTTTAGCCATGATTAATAATTTCTGTCTCAAATCAATTGAGACATATCTATATTCTTGTGAGAACATCGTCATAAATCATTAATCCTTTTTTGTATGAATATGCACAGTTTTATTTTGAGATATACTTATTGAAAACTTTTAACTTTTAGTTTTTATTGTTCATACGAAAAATAGAGAAATAAAGAAAATGATCCTAGCCGACCTTGCAACTTACCACATGTTCAATATTGTCAGAAAAATTCAAAGGAATTTGTTGCAACAATGACAAAACCATATTTTCAAGAGAAAATAGTTGTGATTCGCGGTAATCGAAATTTCAGATTAAGATTGTTTATTAAATTTTTACAAAGCAGATCAAATCGATATGTGGAATTTTTACATTAACAGTTTATCATATGAAATCTATTGACTAAAAAGTAATATGATCATGAAAAATACCGTAATATATTTGCATTCTCTTGATGTCATGAGTGAATTAAAGTTTGAATTATACATTTTGAAACACAAAAATAAAATTCTTATGAAATGATTTCGAAATATCTGTTTCAAAAAGTATAAATGACTTATTTAGTAATCGTTGATTTCTATTACAATCAATAGTATTATCAAAATACTAAAAAGTTAATTTAATCTTTGTATAATAAAATTTATCATCATATAGTTTATAATATTTAATTTCGTTGGAAACTCTTAGTTTTTAAATAGTATCTCAATTTATGATTGTATCGAAGTAAATTAATAATAATACTAAGTAAGCTTGCTTCATATAAAACAGTAAGTATTATATAGGTAGATGAATCAACCTTGTCGCTAAAATTAATTGCTACAAGTAAAAAGATCAGACCACAGGCTCCCATAAATACACAAAATTTGTAAACCGTAAGTGTTGACAAAAAAGAAGAAATCAAGGAAAGTATGGAAGTAATTATAATCACTCTATGAATTAAGCGCAATTCTACAAGTAAACAAATATAAAAGAATTTATTTCAACATTTCTCAATCAACTCTAAAATTGTACTTTTGAAAATGGTAAAAAGTAACCGAATAAAAAGAATCAAGCAAAAACTAAAAACAATTTCTTTCCTATCTTTGCTATTGACTTCATGAATACGATATTATTCGTAATGTTTAAAAAGAAGCTTGTAAACGCAGCGCCTTGAGGGTTGAAATTTAGAATTCATATGTGTTCTTTAGCCTCATTACATATCTCAATAAGTTCACAGCAACTGATATCAATTATTTACCAAAGTTATAATTTGATCAATTCATGTTTTTTATGTTGATCACATGACGATTATGACAAATCAATGCAAAACTTATGGTCACTATTTTTTTCGAAAATATATGTAAGTTCTACAACATATGCAAACATAACAGTAGACATTAAACAGATGATATAATAATCTATCGAGCGTATTTCTAACTGAAAGATTTTTCTTGTGCATGTTTTTGTAGAAGATAATTGAAGAAAAAAACTAAGTAAATGTTTTCTTTTGAAAGGTACTGAAAAAAAAAGTACATCTGTTCTTAAAAATAGTTCTGAAAATGAGTTTGCAGGTTACAGGTATTCAATTTAGCATAAGTATCCATCACAACGTTCTGACAAACGCTGCGATTCGTGCATAAGCATCTTAACTTTAATCGGATACTAAAAACAATGTACGATGTTTCCTACAAATCATTCTGACTGAATGGATTTTAATAATTCGTTAATAAAATATTTTTAAAATACATAAAAGACTTTTCAGATAAGACGTTCTAAAAAAATGATCCATTTGATACATATGTTTGTAATAATCATTTTCTATTTTTTTTAGTTTAATTACAATATTATGTGGTTAATTTGTTTTTTTTTTGAAAAAGAAAAATATTCATTTTACGACATGAATTAAGGTTTCATCGGTTTTTTGTCAGCTAACATTAATACCATTTTCTGTTAATTGAAAATTAAATTCTATTTTTTCCGAAGTTTGTAGGAATTTGTACGCCGGAATTGAAGATAAAATCTATTTCTTTAGGCAAAAAAATGAAGAAAGAACTATTTTAATTGAAACAGAAAAAAAATTACACTGAGATAACAACATGTTTAACAAGTATTGAGTAGTTCAATACTGAAGAAAAATGAATAAATAATGTTTTTCTCGATCAGATCTCATTTCATCGGAAGCTTAATTGCTTTTTCTGTTTCGTCGAAAAATAAAATTGCACTGAAAAGGAGGAGAATGAATTATTCTCTTTGATTAGATTTTTTTTTAAACATACTAATCAAAGATAATGCTTAATAATTCTAAAGAATTTTTTCAAAAAAGTATATTAGAAAATAGTATTAGGTACGTATAGAGCATATTTTAGTTTGTAAAAATAAATTAACACAAAGAAAAAAAAGTTTTCCTCTGACATTTAACAAATTATTCCTGAAAATAATGATAAAAAAATTTTTTTTTGCAGAATTATTGTATTTAAACGTAAAATCAGTATTACATATAAAATACACTTAAGATAGATCGTCTATCTTTTTTTTTTAAATAAAAACATATCATCTTTGATTAGAGAACCGAATTCAATAAATCAAAATTTATTTGAATAGTCTTCATAAGGCGGTGGTGCTGATGGCCTTTGCGTATCTTGAACTGGATATAAGTGTTGATGTTGATAAGGAGTATGAGCCATAGTAGATGCATAATACGGTGGCGGTGCTCCCATATGCACAGCTGCGGTTTGTTGATGATACACAACATCAGGTTGTCGAGTATGAGATCTTGCCTTATGACGTAATCGAATCACAGCAATTGAGTATATAATAATAAATAAAATATTAGAAATAAGCATTAAAATTGCACAAGCAAGAAGACCTTTGAGCATTGGTACTTTTTTAAATGTTCTTGAAGTACATGAATATGAAAAATGATCATCATCATCATCATAATTAATATGATTCCAATTGGGTATGAAACATAAAGCACTGTAACATAAACAAGGATCTTTTATAAAACGGGAAGTGAATATTAAAAGTATAGTGGCAAATATCAAGTTAATTATATTTTGAATAACTAAATAAATTCCACATGCTGATGATTTACGACAACATACTAATTATATAGACAAATATATATTAATTAGAAATCTATATAATCGTCTCTTTAAATAAGACTTACGATAGCAAAACATTGATATCCAAGTAATGAAAAAAATAATTGAACACCATATACCAGCATAAACAGTACCTCGACCAGGATCATAATATATACTGACTATTTCGAAAATAATTATACCTATCCAGAGAATGAATTGTAAACCACCGAAAATGCCTGGAACAATACCAGACATACCATCATTGACTTGTCGGTAATGTGTTTGAATTGTCGGCATCACTATTGGCTCTTGACAATATGATTATTGAAGTACTTTATTTGATTGTTATTCTTCGTGTAGAGAATATTCAATCTAAATAAAAATGAATATTTCAAGAAGATCAGATGTATTTAATTAATCTATTATAAAAATCAAAAAAAAAGAAAAAGTTATTTCCGTTTTTAATGCGCATTTAGATAAGTTTCGTAAAATATCAACAGGAATATACGTTTGATAGAAAAAAAATATTTTCATAACCTTATTCACGTTCTTATCAAAAAGTAAAAAAAAAAGAACACAAGCTTTCTTAGTTTTGCTGATAGAAAAATTTTTTTTTCTTGTCCAACGTTTCTTCTTCCAAGAGTCAATTTGAAAATATTTATTATATTGAAGTTACACGAAGAAAACGATGCTTTAAACTCATAAAAACTTGTTCGTTTAGACGAATCGATATAAAAAAAAAAAGAACGACACAATGATTATAAAATTTGTCTTGTATCAGTGTAAATGTTCTTGTTTTCTTTCGCTTACCTTTACTGTAATGCGACTTATAAAGATATGTGGGTTGTTATATATTTAATTACTCATAGCCAATGGTTACAAAGGTAAATAACCTTAATCTATAGGAAAATTTTGACTAAATAAATATATTAATATTAAAATGTGTTGGAGAGAAAATTGAAAACTTCACTAAATTATTATATATATTTTTTTTCAAAGATGAAATACAACTGAAGCTATTTTTTTTTGTAATTTTTAGTACTATGTCTGTAGCTAATAAATATACCTAGCAAATGTCTTTTATATTAAAAGTGAATTTTTCAATTTTAACTAAGATATATAAAATGGAATATTATTTAATTAAATAATACAAAAACATCAAATATTATCATTAATAATTTGAACGATTATATTGATTCGAGGCGCTGAAATGATTTCAGTCTAGGAGGTATCGTCTCAACTTTTCAGCTAAACTAGCTCGGAGAGCGGATTGAAAAGAGATTTTTTTTTTTCGATTTGTTTATAATGGTAAGTACTATAAGTTTTCTTGCTAGATTTTGATTCTCTACAAGTGTAATAACTATCTAATGGTTTATTGTTTCGAACGAAATCAGAAACTAACACAGTAAAAGAGAAATCCTGCTTTACAAAACCGGGCTATGAAGCCATAAACTATCTATGAGCAAAAAAAATTTGCTATTTTAATTTCTTGAAATAAAATCAGACCATATACTGTTCAAATCAACTGAATTTAATTTTTCTTTATCAATATGAGGATTAATAACATGATTTAAACGTTGTTGAGTGTTTGCGCAGCATAAATATGTTTTTATTCGACTCATAATACTGAAGAATTGTTCAGCGATAAATGTTGTTGTTACAGATATTGTCAAATATAACAATAACAATTCACTGTATTCAGAAAATATAGTTTTGCAAGTTAAAGAATAAAACGTAGACTGTCCTTGTAACAACGCGTCGTCTGTCAGAAGAAAATGAAAATAAAACAGTAATAGAAAATTTTTACATTTAATAAATATTTATCTATCCCGTCTACGAGTCTATCCAGACCTCGTAGTTTCGGCGTCTATGGTGTTGACATTCTATTCTTTATTGATTGTTAAAAGACATTAAGGTCACCAACTGACGATATAAAACGTTAGAAAAAACCGAGCAAGGTGATGACTGAGCTGATGACCTAGATTTTGTTTAATATTTTCTTTGTTCGCGAGTTTTTTTGTAAACAAATTATTTCAATGCATATTCATGTTTTAACATTTTCGTCTATCATTACATTGTATGTTCAATAATCTAAATACGTTAATATTGAAAATAAAGCGCTCATAGCAGTTTTCTTCTTTCTCTCTATTAAATATATATATATAAATTTCTTATGAAATTTATTTTGATCATATAACATATCAAAATGAGTTCATTTGCTTATACAGATCGACTTCCAACGTATCAACAAGTGTTGACAAGTAGTCAAGAATAATCACAGCAATACAATGCTCGTAAAAATAACTCAGTTTCGTAGTGAGTCTAGTAATTTGGATTCAACTGCAGAAAAATGACATCTTCTACACTAATGTGTGTAATTAACAGGGACACATCAAAAAGTGTAGGTGCCGCGGTGTCGTTATTCTGCAGTTGTACCAAAAAAATTAAATTAAATTAAATCCAAACCATTGAGTATTTTTCTATTTGATTAAAATGAGTATAGTCAACAATAATAATTCAAGGAGATTAATGTAATACGCGAAAAGAAAAAGCAACAATAACGAATACAAAGTAACCTATAATTTTATCAGCTAATACTTGTATAGGTGCTTTTGATGCTTGTGCTCCTTCTATTCTTGCGGACTTGTGGAAAAAAAAGTCAAACAATTAAATGATTACAAAAAAGTAGTACCAATCCAATTATACATGGGTCATTTCCATCCAATGATTCTGCTTTTTTCAGAATAAATATTGACTGTAAGATGTGTAATTTGTTCAAGATAACGAAATAAGATCTTATCTTAAATGTAAATGAAACAAAGTGGTCTATTTATCCGCATTCTGATGTATCCTTATCCAGATCATACCTAAGCAGATCACAAAATTATCTTGAATCAGGTATGTCAGTCGGTCTTGTAAGATGTTTTATTTGTTCAAATGATCAAGACCATCATGACAATAAAAATTTTTTTTCATCTTTTTCTTTTACAATGCATACACAATTAAAACAAGCAATGAATGTTGTCCATAACTTAACATTGTAAGTTCGTTTAACTTCATCATAAAAATTGTATATAGAATGTGGATGTCGATCTTCTGTGCTTCTCCACTCATTGTCTCACCCACAATAGTATACTTCGACATAGAGATACAACAGTGGCAGCAATCACCAATCTTACATAGAACTTTGCACTAGTCTACATATGTGTGTATAGACTAACGATGGTATTAGATTCATTTCGGCTGAGAAACAGGGCTGAGCGAGTCCGAGTCATGGCTCGGACTTGCAAATTGGAAAGTGTTGACTGACTGCTTGACTCGAATCATCTCGAGTCAAGTATTCAAAAAAAATTTTATTTCCTCTTATAAAAAGATTCTTATTTTATAAGATTAAATTCTCGCCTATTTATAACTTTCGTCTTAATCGAGTGCGTTGTATATGAGTAATTTTTTCAACAGTATTTTTTTATGACCTATGTATTCATTTGGTCATAAATGATAGCCTACACGTATTGTCAAGTGTTTATTTTTTCTTGAATCTTATTTTTGACTCATCTTTGAAGAGTGTATACTTATATGTAATTAAATAAATAAAACATCCACGTTGCGTTAAGCATCATATCTTTTATCACGCTATAATGTAATTGTTGTAGGAGAGTATTTTGATCATCAAAATTATCCATCATCGATTTCCAATTATCTATTTTTCAACAGAGAATGCAGGTGTGAAATCATCTCCTCCATATCCTCCTTCTTAAAAAAAATGAATATTTGTCTCTTAATGAGCTTCCTAAAACAATTATGCGCGTCCCTGCCACAGTAGCAACAAATGAACATATATTCTGTTAAAGTGATATTTCCAAGAGATCGAATTCTTCACATTTTATAAAAGCTAATATTTTTTTATTGTGACATCTTCAAAATGCAATAAGGCATCTATTTTAAATTATAATAATAACGAGTGATCCAAAAGTTCCTGCAAAAATGTCGCTTCATTTTTCATCGGCTACAACATGTCTTGTAAAAGTAAAAAATACCTATTCAGAATCTACGTTGAAAGCGCCTTCTAACTGCATATTCAAAAAATTTCTATTATGTCTTATCTTTGACTAATGGCCATGTTCCTAAACGAGACCAAAATTTACTCTGTAAAAAGTAACTCATAATGTTTGTGGCAGAAGAAACCAATATGTCAGTATTTTTCGAATATCTTCTATGCATTTCATCGCATACCGTAGTTCTTTTTTCATTACACTCATCGTTTAATTCTCTGGAAACCTGATAGAAAATACTATGGCATTATTTAAAGATCGGTTCCTTCTGCCACACTCATTGTGGATTGCTTTTTACAGTAGTAGTACATTTTAGTGCCATCTGAGGATGTGGTTGCTACTCACAGGCAACATATTCTAGAAATCTTTTGAACATACAGTTAGATAGCGGTCTCAACGTAGATTCTGAACAAGTATTTTCTATTTTTACAAAACATGTTATGGTGTGACCGATGACAAATGAAATGACATTTTTGCAGGAACTTTTGGATCACTCGTTATGTGTCGTATTCTTGCCAGGCCTTTCGCGGCACCCACAGCAGGTGCGATCTGATATGTGTTGTATTCCTCTGAGTTCTTCCGTGGCCGATCCTTCCGTGGCCCGTCGTTTCGTGGCCAATCCTTTCGCAGCAAGTCCTTTCGCGGCCAGTTCTTTCGTGTCACCCACAGTCGGTCCGATGTGAGATGTGTCATATCCTTGGGAGTCCTTCCATGGCCAATCCTTCCGCGGTCCGTTCTTTCGCGGTCAATCCTTTTGGGGCACCGACAACCGGTGCGATGTGTTTTGTGTGCTATTATTGTCAGTCCTTCCGCAGCTAGTCCTTTCGCGGCTACTCCTTTCGGTGCCAGTTCTTTCGTTGCCGGTCCTTTCGTTGCCAGTTCTTTGGTGGCGGTCAGAGGTGAGCGAAGGTATATGAGTCGTTTCGTGGCATACACAGCTGGGCAGACACGTGTTAGTCGTTTGGAGCCACCCGTACCTTGTCGCATCCGTACCGACATCCATATCCAAACTCCACAGCGTTGTTTTGGAAACCTCATTGTGCATTTTCGTGGTTTCATCTTTGTGTTTTCAGAAATCGGTTTTTCTTGAGAAGAGCTTTTTTGTGTTAGGAAAGCGGAAGTGTATGTTTGCGGAAATTCATCCAGTGCGAAAAGGCAATGTATGTTTCTGTAAATTCATTTTGTGTTTCCGGAAATTCATCTGATGCGGAAAGGCAATTTGTGTTTCCAGAAATTCATTTGGTGCAGAAAGTCTATAGACTTTCCTGGAAAGTCATATAAGGCATCATATGGAATTATACTTTCATAGGTTAGAGAATTTCTTCATGCAATATACTACGAGATACAACATCAACGGGTCAAAATAGATAAGCTATTTAAAATATCGTATATCATTTATTTACTAGGTCAACGTAAGTAGAAAAGGTCACAACGTAGCAAGTCTATAATGTTTGATTTTTGATAGTATATCTGCTGCCATTTTTTTGATATTAAAAGTAGTCAAGCTGAATTTTTTATATATTATGTAACTTTTAACTCTCTACAAATTGATAAAAAAAAATATTGAAAAACAAAGTTCACTGACGATTTTCATCTCAAACAAAATGAAGACATTATCCTAACTAGAATTGTACAAATAGTTCTTTCGAAAAACAAAAAAAACAATTTTCGACTTCTTACACTCTCGAGTGGGATCACTTGAAGTTTTAAGTTTTATTCGTAAGATTGAATAATAATCATCCATATCGATAGGGCATGAACTACTTATCATTCAATGCTATGTATAATACATGGAAATTCTTTAAATATAAGAAGAAGTTTTATTTATTTGTCGGAGATACTTTACTTAGTTATACTTTTCCATTACTTCGTAGTATGCGAAAAACTATCATGAGATGAGGTGAAGAAACAATGATTGAATAATAAAGAAAATGTACTTTTATCAAAATCAATCTTGAAGAATTATCACTTCTATTAATGGTTTCTGAAAGATTAACTTAAAATAGCATTGAAAACATATAGGCATATGATACAATATTTTCTCATCGTATTTCAATAGAGAGTCTGCATGAATCACTTTGAAATATTAGAATAAATGAAATGGATTATGTTGTACATGGTCATGCTCACATGATTATTCTTTCATGTGATGGTGATGATCGATTCGATACCTATACATTGAAATCAGGTGATGTTTGTTTTAAACCTTGTACTTATTCACATCATATTGCAAAAAAAAAAGAAGTGAAAGTTATCATCTTTTTTTGTTCCACCTATTGTTGATGACATTGATTCAACAAGCAGCCGTTCAAATTATTCACGAGAAATACTTGCTACAATACTTCACTGTTCGATTCTATCCGCAAGATTTCTTTATTGTCTAACTTATTAATTCCTAGAACAGCAAACTTTATTTTTATTTTCAAAAAATAAATGTATCTAAATAAAAGAAAAACACTAATCGTGCCGTTCAATTAAAACCGTTGTGTGGCATCGGACGGAAAAGCAAGAATTTGCTAGAACGAACAAATGTTGAGAATTATACTAATGCTATTTGAATACACATTGTTATTCATCCATAAGTGTATGACATTGATGTTGCTGTAGATTATTCTAACAGTATTGATGAATAGGTGCATTGAATCTGCAATAATAGTACTTTTAGCGTTTTTTTCTTTCTATTAGCCTTTCAAAACATTCATCAATAGAATGATCACGAATAGAAGATTTTATATATATAACAGCAAATGTATATTTAATATATTGATTATTCGACTGATTAAGAAAAAACAAAAGAATGCATCATTTTTTTTCTTATCGTAACAAATACACAAATATTTTTGATTTTAATCATAAAACAAAATGGTAAGAAAACATATGCTGCCTTTTTAATTCTTTTTTTCTTAAGTAAATGATCATTTTGCACGATATATGATTCAGTAAGTTATTTGCATCAGTATGGAATTATTATATTTTCTTAACATTTTACTGTAAATACACGTGACATATTAAAATTTCTAAGTAATAGGAAAACTAACTTTCCATTTTAACAACGGTTGTTTTTAACATTAAGCACTTCAAGAAATATCTCTGCTCTACTATTTCTGTTCTTTTTTCTCTGATATTTTTCTCATATGAAATCTTTGTTTTAGAAAATATTTGTTCTGTTGTGATAGCAACACTTGTATACTTGTGTTGAAATCATCAGTCGCTTTTATATAAATGGAAAGAATTTTTCTCATTTTACTTCAACTCTCATCTTGTTAGACATTGCACTAAAGACTAAGAAAAAAGAATGAACTCGGAATCAGCACCACCACCACCTTATGGTAAACTAAATTATATTATTTGTTTATTATTTAATGATTTTATTTTATTGAATAGGGTTTGAAAAACCAGTTAATTATCAACAAGCACCACCACCACCACCACAACCAATGCCAATAGCACAACCGGTATATGTTGGAACCCCAATTGTTATTGTAGGTGACTATCCAATGCAATGTATGTGTCCTCGATGTGGAAGACAGATTGTTACACGAATAGAAAAGAAATCTGGCCTTCTCGTCTGGATTATTTGTGGTGTTCTTTTCCTTTTGGGTTTATGGATTTGTTGTTTTATACCATTTTGTATTGATAGTTGTAGAGTTAGTATTATTTCTATTTAATTTATTTAGTTGTTTATTTTATGAATTATATAGGATACAGAACATTATTGTCCAAGTTGTGGCGCAATGCTTGGTATTAACAAAAGAATATAACAAGATCTGATAAATATTGAACAATGATAAAATTCTAATTTCTATTACTTTTTTCGTATTCAATAAAGGTTACATATACATTTTAAATCTTTCAAAAAAAAAGTTCAACTATTTGTATATAATTCATTTATTATTGAGTCAAAAAAACGACAGAATATAAAAAAACCCAGGCTTATTTTTTTTGTTTTCTTGCTATCGCGTTAATGATGTTACATTATTCCTCGTTGAGTTTGCTGATGCCTTAGCTAGGAAGAAAAATTAAATATATAGGAACATCTAAAAAGGAAAATGAGTTCTGTCAGTTTTTTTTCCTTTAGTCTAATCAGGACGCGCGAGTGACGTTAGAAAAAAAAAGTGAGTAGAATAGAAAAAAAAAACGAACGAGTTTCTAGAGATTTCCTATCCAGAAAGTCTTCACTAGAGAGTCAAAGTTAGTAAAAACATAAATGACAAGTGTTTATCCAATGGAAGTAAAATCAATTCCTCCTCCTACCTATGGTAATACAATTAGTCATTAAAAATATATAGAATTATTTTCTTAATTTATAGAACAAGCAACTTATGGTTCACAAATTCCATCGATACCAACTACATATAGTATATATTCAGCATCCGCTACAGGTTTTCTACAACCATCAGCACCTATTGGTATGTATCCAACATCTGTTATGGGTTTACCACCACAAGCACCACCTATTGGTACTAGTATGCTCATAGCAACACAATCACTAATGTTTGGTGATATGCCTGTACAATGTACTTGTCCTCATTGTTATCAAATCATTGTTACACGTGTAGAAAAAAGAGAAGGTTTACTACCATGGTTAATTTGTGGTGGAATTCTTTTAATGGGTGGTTGGTTAGGTTGTTGTCTTATTCCATTTTGTATTGATAGTCTCAAAGTATGTTAATTGAAAATTTAATAAAAATAAAAGAAAAAAACTTTTTTTTTATTTTATTTTCTTCGTTCTATAGGATACTGAACATTATTGTCCACATTGCGCAGCTTTACTTGGTTCACAACGAAGACTTTAGTTTATTTTATGATAGTATAATCGAAATCTTCAGATCAATTTTACAATTATCCTTATGAATTATATTATGTGAAATAACTGACAAAATATTTTTTTTTATTTTTAGTTTCTTTAATCATCATTGAAATACACATCTCATATCTAATCATATTGAAATTAAGAAAAAGAACATACATAAAAAAGAAAAACAATACACAGACTATAATTACATAGGGATATGATTATTTAATATAGCTCGTTTTTTCATATGTTCATTTTGAATAAATTTCATTTTTTCCGTAATTATAGATAATTGTTGTTTAACAAGAATAAGATCATTTACTTGATTATGTACATAAAGACATTTATTATCATAAATTAAAAGCCAATGAATTAAAATAGTTTCATCCTGGGTAGATAAACGAGATTTTTTTTCATTATCTAATATTGTATCAAATAAACACCATCCATTAATACATGGTTGAGTATTTAAATATCCCATATTTGAAATATTTTTTGTTAATAAATTTGTAAAATCTGATCGATAATATTCATGTAAAATTTTTAATGAAATTTTTTTTGAATTAAATAATTGTACAAAAAATAATGAATGATGACATAAAAGTAAATGATAAAGTGAAATAAATTTATCATCAATATCTTTATAATAATATTTATATTTTTTTATATAACGTGTACCATATTCAACTATTTTCATATAATTATTTATTAAATTTATTGATTGAGATTTAAAATATGGCATTAAAATATTTAATGTTGAACTAAATGGTTTACGAAGATCATTTAAATTAAGAAGAATATCGGATGATGTGATTATATATGGATAAATACAACGATCTAATTGAAGATAACCACCGATTGATGAGAGATCAAACTTAAGAAAAAAAAAAAAATATGAATAAACTTTTAATAAAAAAAATAGATATTTCTCTACCTTCTCATCTTCAAAGCAAAGTTTGCGCTTGACAGTTTGAATTGAAGGGAAAAGTGTTGAACGAAGATAATTATATCTAAAAATATCATAAGATATTTTTAATAAAAATAATTAATTATTTTTATACTTTGTTGTTGCTTCCGAATTAAGTATATCAATTTCTTGTATTGTTCCATATTTAACATCTATTTTAAAACTAGCAAAATGTTTTCGTTCTTCATTTTCTGTTGATGAAATTTTAGTGTTTTTTAAAAAATTAATTAATTGAACAAATTGATCGATTATTGAACATAAAATAAGTTTTGATGATGATGAGAAATCTTTATTTGGATATAAAGTTTTATATAATATTCTTTCATTCATTGTCATTGGTGATAAGGGTAATTTTTTTGATGAATTCCATGTTGAACAATGAGTGTCTAATTCATGAACAACAAGTTCAAAAGCAATATAAGGATAATAAATACCAGATTTAAGTCTATTTATAAAGATAAATATATATTTGAAAGAAAAATAGAATGAACAAACCGATAGAGAATAGGAATTTGTTTATTATTAATTGTATAAAAACTATAATGATTTCGAAGTGTTGGAAGATCAAACGGTTGTGAAGTCATTATTGATTCTTAACACTTTCGATCGATTATTTTTCTATTTGAATTCTATATAAAAACAGAATAGAGAAGAATTATACGCGTATATAAATGAACAAGAAAGAATTCTAATTTCTTATCTTTTTTTTTAATTAAATATCACAAAATAAACTAAAATTAACTTGTTTTTAATTTAAAACAAAAAATAAAACCAAAGGTATTAGTAAAAATTTCTAAAGACATGAAAAAAAGTGACCTCTTTGGAAATATTTCTTAATTCGATACATGAATATAACCAATTAATACATTTATTTAGTCTTCAAAAACAAAACTTGGTTCATCTACATATTTCTTCATTAAAAAACATCCTTTGTTAAAACGATTGATTGTCAATGATTAGTTATCATTTAGACAATGCCCATCAAGCATAACTTGCATATATGAGGCGATTGGAAGCCATTTGTACAATTGAGAAAAAAATAATGGCTAAGCTTATATCTTGTAGAATTCTCAACCAAATTCAATAATTTTATTAGAAAATATTCTTCGCAAGTGTGGCTAGTTTTGCTGCTAAAATCAGCCATTTAGCTATTATTTCTGAATAGAGAGCATGAAAATGACGTCGTTTTTCCAATGAAATTTCATATGGTTATGTTCAGTGTCAATATATGAATTTGATTTTTTTTCTGTTAAGAATACTTTTAAAAATTTATTCTAACGTATTAGTATCTTCGTAAGATTCGCTAGAAAATGCACTATTTGATTTAGCCAAGTGGCGTTTATTTTATTTGTATCTGCTCGAAGTATTGGTCGCCTAAGATTTGGTCAAAAATGTCCCGTCACGCTGTAAACTGTTTTTTTCCCTAATGAAAACTTCAACGAAGTCCCACTCAATTATAGTCAAAATGTAACCCCAAGAAAAAGAAATAAGTTGCAATTTAAACAAAGTCTAGTATTTTTTATTGGAAAAAAAAATTAAAAAACTCGGTCCTCGAACAGGAGTTTTTCTCGCTAAATGTCCCGTCATGCTTGATTTTTGTTTTTTTATGTATCTCGAGTTCTATTGCAGCATAATCAGTATAATTTTCAGCAAAAATACAGCGCTAGGTATAGAAGAGACACACCAAATTTCGGCTCTCAGTTGTTTGTTGTTTCGGAGAAAATTACAAAATGCTGATCAAATGTCCCGTCACGCCTTTTTGACAGTAAAAGTGATGTTTTTCGATCAAAATAGAAAGAAATTTAGATGTGTCTTGTATGAATCGAAAGCTCTTTGAAAGAGTAATCTTACTAGACGTATTAAAACTCTTTCAAGTGAAAAGGGCGAGTTTACTTAGGTAAAAATAGAAGCATCTAATTTGGCCTGTAGAATTCTACTCTTATGTAAAGCCTTTTTCGAAAGAGTGAACTTCCAAAATTCAAAGCTTTGTTATGAAAGTCATTTAAAATTTAATTTCCTCATTAGCTCTGAATAGCTTATGATTTCGCTTAGGTTTATCCTCGATCAACTTCTCAAAAAGGGTCGTTTGATATCTCCTTATAGTACATACACGATGACTAGATGAATATCAAAAATGATCTTAAAAACACCAATTTTTTGAAATTTCAGTTATCCTTGATAGTGGTAGTAAGACAAATGCCAGTCTCATTTATTTCTTGAATAGTACTATCTACCCCAATACATAGAATCATTCCAGTGAAAAATGAAATTTTCAAAAGAAGTTGAAGTCGAATTGTATAAATGGGTTTGCAATCGTCTCATATATGTACCAATTGCAGTCAGGTATATTATATTAACAATGAATTGTTTACCAAGTATGATTATAGAGTTATTTCATATAATCATTTATTTCTTTTCTTTCTTTTCACCGGAGACATTGTCCATCTACTTGATTTACCTGATGAGTTAATTTTAGCTATTATGAATCAAGTCAAACCTCATGTGTTGTTACTTTGTTCTATTATTTCTATTGATCACAATCGTTTGGAACAACTTGCACTGGATAAATGTCAATCAATAGATTTAGCTTTTGATTATTTTCAATCACCACATAAATCACTTTTTCAAAGATTTTATTCACATGTTCTGCCTCGTATCTTCAATAATATTCAATCATAAACACTACATATTGAACATCTTCATAATATTCTCACTTTTATTGAAAACAATTGTGATAGAATTTTTCCAAATTTGACACATTTGAGAATAATGCCGTGTGAACGAAATCCAAAAATAGGAACGCCATATACACTAGGTAAATTATTATTATTAAATATATTTTTTAATAGTGTTTAAGTACTACTTATGCTGATTTTCTGCCTAAGAAATATTTGAGATTTTATAAATTAAGTATTTGAAAACGTCTTGTCTGTATTTTGTGCCATAGAGAACTTTATAGGTTACTTTTGTGCAAAGAATTGTTACACAATTCAACCAAACAAATGCAACACCTATCATATTTTGAATGCCAACATTTTTCCTACAACAATAATAGTTGAAAAAATACAGAAAAATCTTTTTGATTGAATATTATCAAAAAAGCAAAAGACTGCTGAAAAATATTATAGTTTCTCAGGCCGAGTAATCCCGGTTCCGAATCCCGTCGGATTCTGTCGGAAATCTGGCTTAATCCGATAAATTACGACGAGAATCCGACAACTTCCGACACGGATCCTGTCGGAATCCTTGGTAGCAGAATTCAGTCGGATGTCAGATCCGATGATTTCCGACAACCGGATCCGACAGTCGGAAGATGTCAGAAAGTGCAGAATCCGACGGGATCCTATAGGAATTCTATAGCTAAACCTAATAGTAATAGAGGTGCAACAAATCCTGTTTATCTGCATAAAGATTGTAAATTTTTGGTATGAAACTCTCCCAAATCTAACTATATCTTCGTGTCAATAATAACCAGTTTTATTTGCTCTATCTGATATTGATATTTATTTATCAGTATCAGATAGAGTGAATAAAACTGGCTATAAATGACACGAAGATTTGGGAAAGTTTCATACCGAAAATTTACAATCTTTATGCAGATAAACAGGATTTGTTGCACCACTATCTAAAATGAAAAAAAAAATTATTTAATTAAATAAAATACTTACTGTTCAATTTTCATGTTCAAATGAATCTAAAATAAGGAAGAAAAATTATTTAATTAAATCAGATACTTACCATTCCATTTCGATGTGCAAATTGATCTAAAATAAAGAAAAAAAGAATTTAATTATTTAAGATATATTTGCTCCGTATAGCTCTGAGTAACAAAAACAATAATAATGAACAACTTTATAAGAACTTACTTTAAAAAGTCGATTTAATAATACGTAAAAATAGACGTATTATTTTGCATTGAGTATGATACTCCCATTTGATTTTTCTAGTTCAAAATATATTTCAGATACATTCTGCAAATTAGAATAGACAAAAACAGATGTTTTCATGTCATTGGATCCAACGATTTCCGACTATCGAATGTCATCGGTTTTCATCGGATCCGACAGTTGGCATCCGACTGGATCCGGTTGTCGAACGATATCGGATTATTCAGGGATCCGTCAGGATCCTGCTGGGTAGTTTCGCTCTGCGTTCTTTACAATGTTCACAGAAAAGTTTTATGAAGTATGTTTCGGATTAAATCATCGCACACACACAAAAATTAGATCTTTTAATTTCTTATTAATAATAAAATTTGAATAAATTTTTTTTCCACTAAAAGATATCAAATGGAGTCGAGATTTTTTTTACGATCAATGAACCCGCGTAACACATGTCGGTGATATTCATAGATATAAACGACATCCAGAAGAATTAATTCAAGCATTATCCCATGTCGATAAGACATGCTACTGACACATGTGTCGACACAACGACATGCTATACGTACATGTAATGACATGTATCGACACATGTATTGGTAGCGTGTCTTGGATAGATAAGAATATAATATATACAAAATTAAAGTGGAAGAAAAAAAAATCGGTCGTTCTATTGGATGTTTCTCGCTTGATATTTTGAGTTTCTTGCTGAAACTATCGCGAGAAGAGAGAAAAGAAATGTGCGCTATATAAATACTTCATTTTTTCTTAAAAAATTTCGTTTTAACTTTGACGCATAGGATTTATTCAACAATTAATATGAAATGAATAAGATTTTTTTCTTTCCTTGTTTTTAGATAATACAAAGGGCAATTTTATCATCTTCGAATATCATTTCAATTCAACAGTGACAAAAAAATTCATTTTTTATTTTTTTTTATATTTTATATTTTATATTTTATTTTTTACTGTTCCTTTTATGTTTATATTTTATTTCTTTTCATTTCTTACTGTACAAAAGTTTTCTATTATTTTTTTTTAATCTATATTTTTATGAAATAAAACTTGACTTTCCTCATAAAAATGAATTCCAGTTTCATAACAAGGCACAGAGACAAAGAGAGCGAGAATCAGTCATCACTTGTTCTCATTGGTCCACTACTAGTGATAGCAAAATGAACTAATTGAATTGTTAGAAAAATGACACAAACACGTCTGTGACATGATGGTCGTACAAACCTGTTCTACAAGGAGATCCTTTTTACCTTTTTGCATTCTCTTCATTTAGTTTAATTGATTCTGGACGATTGAAAGTGAAAGAAAATTTTATTTTTGTTTAAAAGACGATGAAAGTATTATATCAGATTTTTTTTAAAGATCTAGTTGGTGAACTTCCACAATAATGTTTGTTCATTTTCAAAGTGCTATTACAATTGTAGGCATACAGTACGATTACGTTATTTTTCATAGGCTCGTTTGCTTTGCTCTATTTCTGAAAAACCTTATGTGCTTCTTGTTTCTATATATTTGGATAAAGCGTGAACCATTCCACCGGTCTATATAGGTTTTATTATACTTTATTCATGTCTCTTCGAAAAACTTGATCAACTCTAAGCGGCATTGAATCAAAACTTTTGCACACAGCTTTTTCAATTAAATCGAAGTTATTAATGGTGAAAATTGAATTAGACGGTAGACAGCTA